TTCAAGAAAACCTAATTTAGGAAGGATGTGAGCAAATTGGAGACACTTCAGATGAGAGCAACAAAAATGATAAAAGGTTTAGAAAACCTGACTTACTAGAAAATTATGGAATTTTTATGGAATCCCCATTGTTGAAGGTTTTTAGAAACAGGACAAACACGTGTTAGGGATGGTCTTAAAACGGGTGGGGAACCTCAGGCCCGGCCTGTCTGATCCGACCCTCGGTTCTCAGGGCTCCCCCCAGCATTGGGGAGCCTGTGCTGGAACTGGAATGTGGGGAGTGTCTTTCTCCTTCTCAGTTTGTTTTGTTTTGTTGTCTTCTTCCTTCTCACTTGTGATCTTTCTGTGGGTCAGCAGCCCTGACCCAAAAAATGGTTTCCCACCTGTGGTCTGAGAGGTCAGTGTTTCTCAAATGCAGCCATCATGGCTTCATGCGGCCACTGGGGACTTTTCTTGTATCTTGTATCCTGGGTGGTGATTTGGGAGAAAGGGGAGCAGCATCCCCTCCCCCAGGGCTGCCAGCAAGAGATGGGCCCTGTTGCCCTCTGGAGCCAGAAATGCCGGAGGAGCAGATAGCTGGTATGAGTTCCCCACGTTTCTGGGACCTTTGGGGCTCGGGCGCGCCCCCCCCCCCCCCCCCCATCCCCAACACCACTAGCTCCATTGCCTCTTCTGGCCCCCATCCATATCTCCTGGCCTCTATTGCCTCCCTACCCACCTCTCCATCCAGGGCTTAATTTGCCGCCAGATTGCTAGGGTTGAATTAATTTGTTGCAAAAAGTGATATTTGTATGTTAATTAATGTAACTTTTCACTGCTTCCTAGCTAGGGATGTGAGGGTTTAACTGGTAAGTTTAACTGGTTTAATGGGTGAGGTGTACCAGTTAAGATTAACCAGTAGTGCTGGATCAGCTCCCACCTGGCAGAGGGCTGCTCCAGCCCCACAGGGAACACCACAGGCAGTAGCAGCCCCTCCCCCTCGCTTACCCCCTTTAATCGGTTAGTCAATTAAATGGAATATTACATCCCTATTCCCAGCTAGCAAGTAAGTCTGTTTCTGTGAATAATATTAACAGATACACAAATATCACTTTTCACAACAGCATTCTTGCTAGCAAGTCTAAACTAAAAACCAACCAAAACAAAGAACAAAAGATAAGGACACAAAAAAACCACTTTATTTTCATTTCTATTCTGTTTAGGTCCAGTAAAAAACAGAGACGGCCAGGGTAAGGTGCCTGGGACAACCCCTCATGCATGGCCCCCCATCTCACCTTTTCCTGCCCGTTTCATCCTTGCCCTGTCTCTTCCTGCCCCTGCTCTGCTCTCTTTCCACCCCTTCTCCCAGGTCCCATCCCTGAGCAACGCTGGGAGGCAGTGGAGCAGGCTGGAGCTGCGTTGCTCCACTTTCCACTGCCACCAATGACTGCAGGGGCTGGCCCGACCCCAGCTGCTGGCATCCGGCTCCCCATTAATACCTCCGACCATCATTGGCCCTATGCTTCTGTATCCCCCTGAGTCACGCACCCCCCATACCCAAAGCACTGTGTCCAGGGTAGCTGTGAACCGTCCTATGGACCCTACGGCTCTGAAGACAACCCTACTTATTTCCATTATTGGGGTTTTTTTCCATACTCATAGTAAATAAAATACAATGGTTTGGATGTTTGTTTTTCATAAGTTTAAGTATTTTAGGGAACATTGTCAGAGGAGTTACCAGCAAGAGCATGTGTTGCATTTGGAGGTCATTGAAAAATTGTTGTGAGAATCCCTTGTGTAGGTTTATTTGGTGCATCAGCACAGGCGCTGGCCTTGATAGCTTTTGAGGCCCCTTGCAGATATACGTTTCCATAATATGTATCTATATTTGGCAGCTTGTTTAGAATACAGAAAAACTTTTTTTTTGTCTGGACTTAACTATAGTGAGCATATTATGCATGTTTAATTTTATTTAGCACATAAGACTGGCCATACTGGGTCAGACCAAAGGTCCATCTAGCCCAGTATCTTGTCTTCCCACAGTGGCCAATGCCAGATGCCCCAGAGGGAGGGAACACTAATAATCATCACACGATCCCTCTCCTGTCCTCCATTTCCAGACAAACAGAGGCTAAGGATATCATTCCTACCCATCCTGGCTAATAGCCATTGATAGACCTAACCTACATGAATTTATCTAGCTCTTTTTTGAGCCCTGTTAAAGTCCTACTCTTCACAACATCCTCTTGCAAAGAGTTCCACAGGTTGACTGTGCACTGAACCAATACAAACTTTTGTTTTAAACGTGCTACCTATTAATTTCATTTGGAGACCGTTAGTTCTTAACATAAATAATTTTTCCTTATTTATTTTTTCCACATCAGTCATGATTTTATAGGTCTCTATCATATCCCCTCTTAGTCTCCTCTTTCCTAAGCTGAAAAGTCCAAGTCTTTTTAGTCTCTCTTGAAAACCTCTCATCATTTTTGTTGCCCTTTTCTGAACTTTTTCCAGTGCCAATTTATCTCTTTTGAGATGATGCAACCACCTCTGTATGCAGATTTCAAGATATGGGCATACCTTGGTTTTATATAGAAGAAATAAGATATTCTCTCTCCCTTTTTAAATTATTCCTAACATTCTGTTTGCTTTTTTTTAATTGCTGCTGCTCACTGAGTGGATGTTTTCAGAGAAGTATCCACAAAGATTCCAACGTCTCTCTCTTGAGTAGTTGTAGCTAAATTAGTCCCCATCAACTTGTATGTATAGTTGGGATTATTTTTTCCAGTGTGCATTACTTTACATTTATCAACATTAAATTTCATTTGCTATTTTGTTGCCTTAATTTAGTGAGATCTTTTTGAAGCTCTTCTCAGTCTGCTTTGGTCTTAACTATCTTGAGCAGTTTGGTATCATTTGCAAATTTTTCCATCTCTCTGTTTACCCCTTTCTCCAGATCATTTATAAAATAAGTTGAATACGATGGGTCCCAAGACAGACCATTGGGGGACACCACTTGTTACCTCTCTCCAGTCTGGTACTTACCCTTTGTTTCTTGTCTTTTAACCAATCATCAATCCATGAGAAGTCCTTCCCTCTTATCCCACAGCAACTAACTTTACTTAAGAGCCTTTGGTGAGGGACCTTGTCAAAGGCTTTCTGGAAATCTCAGTATGCTATATTCACTGGATCTCCTTGTTCACATGTTTGTTGACCCCCTCAAAGAACTCTAGTAGATTAATAAGGCATTATTTCCCTTTACAGGAAACATGTTGATTTTCCCTCAACAAATTGTTAATCTGTGTGTCTGACAATCTTATTCTATATTATATTTCAACTAATTTGCCCGGTATTGATGTTAGACTTATTGGTCTATAATTATATTTAATATGTTATAAGGAGCCAAAGTAGATTTTTTAAAAAAATATGTACATATGCTATATTAATGATCCAGATGAGCATTATTGCATTGCATTTGTGTGATATATACATTAAGAGAATCATCTGTTGTGTCTTACATTGGCAGTTGATCATGACTTTGTGCCCCCTAGAGCATGGAATTTGTCTCCTTCTCTCTCTACTTCTTAATTACAGACCTTTCTCAATTTTAAAGGTGTTTTTTGGTATGATACAATTAGCTCCCCCTATGTTGTCTCCCTGCTCCCCTCCATTTTTGGTATTTCATCCACTTGTTTGATCTTATCTGAATATCTTCTTTGCCCTTTTAAAATGTTTTCCTTATCCTATTTTAATTAAGACATTTGTTTTACATATTTTAGTGCTATTGTATTGTACAGCACTCGGTGTGCTTTTGGCAGGGAGGAAGAAATGGAGGCTCTCTGAAACTATTTTACTGTTTCTGGTATTACCAACATTAAAATCAGTTAGCTTTTAATATAAATTAGTGTGTAATTAGTGTGTGTGTGTGTGTGTGTGTGTGTGTGTGTGTATAAATAAATAAATAGATGTGTGCATGTTGAGTGTATTAAACTTTTACTTTTTTCAAGTTGTTCCATTAAAATGGTAAATACAGGCAGTCCCCGGGTTACGTGCAAGATAGGGACTGTAGGTTTGTTCTTAAGTTGAATTTGTATGTAAGTCGGAACTGGTACATATTGTAGGGGAAACTCTAGCCAAACATTTCTCCAGAGCTCAGTTTTATTCTCCCACACCTCACTTCCCTCGGTCCTTTATTCTCAAGCTGAGGTGTCTGCTGAGAAAAGCCGCTCCGCGTCTCCCTGGTCTGCTGGGGGGGGGGCACTAGCTTTGCATCTCCCTGGTCTGCTGGGGGGAAGCAGCTAGTGCGGGGTTGCCTCACCCCGTTTGTAAGTAGGGATCTGATGTAAGTCGGATCCATGTAACCCGGGGACTGCCTGTACTTCTTCTGAGAGTTTACTTTTTACAAGTGCTTCCATATTTACCAGTGTACCTGTTCAGATTACCCTAAAAGATCTTCTCTAACTGCAAATGTCAAGAGAAAAAAATTGTCTCCATGTTGCTGTTTCTGTTCTTCTCCATGTTGCTGTTTCTGTTCTTTTAGGTCCCTGTACTTTGCACCTGATTTTTTCCTTTCCAGTTGAAAAAGCCATTAAATATGAAAAAATGAGCAGAGAGCGGAAGTAGCAGAGAGCACTAGCAATGCCTGCTTCTGGCTGCTATAGCATATTTAATGCTGTTACACAGTATTTCTCTACCCTTGGGACAAACAAAGTGAACTAAAGTCAATTTTTCCTGACTTTGACAAGTCATCACATTGTGACTGTGGGAGCACAATATAGATTACTTGCTCTGTGTTTATTTTCAGCAGTGTGGGTGGGCAAGTCTCCTTTTTGAGGCTATAGAGGGAACAAGAAATATAGGGGAAAACCTACTTATGGGCAAAAATTCTGTGACAGAAGGGTTTTTTTAGACGATTCATTTTCCCATATATATGATTGTGCCTATCATATTTTGTGTATCTTATTCAGTAAATAATCATATTTATGAATACTACTAATAAATACATCTCTTAACTTTCACAGACAAATTTGACCAATTTTGGGCCATAAACCGGAAACTCATGGAGTATCCTCCAGAAGATAGTGGATTTCGCTACATCCCATTTAGAATATATCAGGTAGGAGACAACATGAGAAGCCTCATGTTTTACAAATCTCTTATCATACTGAGTTCTGTCAAATGTAGTAAAAAGTAAACCATATGGAATGATAAGTCCATCTATTTTTAGCTACAGAGTAAAATTGCTCATATTTACAGTTCAATTCATGTTCAATTGAATAAATTAACTGAGGAAATAAAAGAAAATCCATAGAACTTGTTACTTTCCTATGATCTTAATAAGTAATTGATGCTCATTGTAGAGTTGTTACATATCAGTTAATTCAGTAGTCGATTAACCTAATGAATTCTTATCAGTTACTCAACTATTCTGTAGTCCCCGGGGGTGAAGCCCAACAGCCAGTGTGCTCTGGCCCCACTCCTGAGGTGCCCCTTGCCACTGTGCTGCTGCCTATGTATCAGAGGCAGCAGTGCAGAGTGCCAGGTGGGAGTTGGTCCATAAGGGAAGCCAGTATAAAACCAGCCCCTGTCCGGAGGGAGGGAGGCCTGAGCTCCTTGACCCAGCATGAGCTGGAATTGAGTTGGGCTGCCTGCGCCCCTGGCTCCTAATATGATTTAAATGCAGAGCCATAGCGGGGGTAGGTCCCGGACCCAACGCAAGCCCAGAACTGAGCTGAGCTTCTGGCCAGCCTGCTAAAAAATTTACTGGTGGGGCAGGGGGGGAAATGTGTGTAGTCTGTAGCATTAATCGATAAGCTTTTGCTTATCAGTTAATCGACCACACTATTACATCCCTGGCTCGTTGTGCCAGAAATAGGTGCATAATACACAAAAGTATGCTCAGTGCTTTACAGACAAGACAAAAGACTAACTTGGGCTCTGCTAGAAACTATAAATAATGGTCTTAACAAAGTGACTGGATTTATAGCTTAATCAGAGCTGGCTGGTGAGGGGAAACCTGGGGGACCACTGGTTACATGACCCTCCCCCAGAATGGGGAAGGGCCAGGACAGCTGCCCCTCTACCGCACACTCTGCCTCTCCTTGCTCTGTTCCTCCCCTCCCCATACTTGCTCCACCCCTGCCCTGCCTCTTCCTCCAGCCAAGGTATCCCAGGGGATTAGTGGGCGCTGGCAGCAAGGCCTTCTTCTCCCACACTCACCAGCAGAGGAAGAAGAGCAATCCGGTCCCAGCTCGCTCTGCTCCCTTGATGACATCACTCTGCTTCCTACCAGTGAGTGTGGGGGCAGATGTGGCCGTCCCCCAAACGACATAGACAGAGGAGCAGAGGGAGCTGGCGCTGTGCTGTTCTGTTTTTCCCACTGCTGCTAATGAGTGTGGGGAGTAAGACCCCATAGCAGGCACCAGGCAGAGATGATGAGGCAGCAGCAAAGATGATAAAAAAAAGCAAATACAGTACAGCCATTGTGTTAAATGTAAACTTAAAAAAAAGGAAAGCAGCGTTCTTCTTTTGCAGTTCCAAAGCTGTATTATGTCAGTGCTCAGTTGTAAACTTCTGAAATAAAAAAACATAATGTCTTATTCAGAGTTACAAACAACCTCCATTCATAACTCTGAAGTTCTACTGTATACCAATGTTAGTATGTAAAACTTGGGGAATGACAAAATTAAGTAAACCTAAGTTGACATACGACTACCTCAATAATTAAGTCTCTTTTGCATGTCCACATTATGGTGATTGTGTTGGTGATGCACATCCTCTCCACGAACGCTTGCACTGATTTATCTGGCATTGTGGGAAGGTTCCTGAAAGGCAACAGTCAATGTAAGCTATGTAGTATCTATGCTGACGCTGCATCAGTCTAACTACAGCAACCTAAGTGCTACCCCTCTTACAGACATGGTGTTATTAAATCAGTGTAGTGGGTGAGTAACGTAAGTGGAAGCTGCATTTTAGCGTGAATGCTTATATTCTTAGGGGAATTTTGTACTTTGCATGGGGGCACAGAATTCATACCTTCCACAGATTTCTTAGCTCCTTTGCAGAAAAATGGGAGAACAAAGAAATATATGGGGAACACAACCTCCTTCTGCAGCAGTTCTCGTGTGTCTACTGAGAGCAGCTGGTACCAGAGAGCAGATCGCTGCAGAGCTGTGGTGGGAGGAAGGTTGCGTGCGTCCATGCAACCATGGAGAGACATTAAGAGAGTGGTGCTGGGCACCTGGCTGTATGCAAATGAGTGAGAGAGACTGTCCCTGGGTCACTGTTGCTGAATGCTGGACTTGGAAGCATAGGGCTGCGTGAAGCAGTCTCTGTTCAGAGGCAGAGCAGAAATGTGATAACTGAAAAGGCAGGTTGCAAATCATCATTAATCGTTCCCATTCTTAGTCAATTAAGGCTCTTTTTACCTTTCCAGAGTGGTATAAAGGAGCCGTATTGTAAATTAGCCAGTCATAAGACGGGATTTTCAAGTCTCTCCTCCACATCGGTCTTCTTTCCTGAGCCTCCTGTCTCTCTCCTCCTCCTCCTCCTCCTCCTCCTCCTCCTCCTCCTCCTCCTCCTCCTCCTCCTCCTCCTCCTCCTCCTCCTCCTCCTCCTCCTCCTCCTCCTCCTCCTCCTCCTCCTCCTCCTCCTCCTCCTCCTCCTCCTCCTCCTCCTCCTTCCCCCCCCCTCTCTCTCTGCCTCTTCCGCCTCCTGCCTCTCTCTCTCCTGCCTCTCACTCAGGGGATCACGGAGCCCAAACAGCTGTTTGGGCTCCTCACTCCCCGTGCTGCATGGGGAGCGCGGAGTCCAAACAGTCACTTGCGCCACTTGCTCCCACGCAACAGCCTGGCTGAGTGGCGCAGAAGTCAGCTGAACGCCACGGTGGGAGGCGAAAGGGGGCAGGGCGGTGACGTTCATGGCCAGGAGGCGGGGCCTGGAGCCGCTGTCACACTGCATGTCATCACCCCGCCCTCCTTCCCCTCCCGCCATGGTGCTCGGCTGACTTCTACGCCGCTCTGCTGGGTCGCCGCGGGGGAGCAAGCGGCGCAAGCAGCCGTTTGGGCCCCACATTCCCCATGCAGCATGGGCCACCCAGAGGGAACAGCCAACAGTTGCCTTTATGTAGATCTAACTCTAGTGTAGATCAGGGCTCCCCTTTTGAATACCTTTCCCAGACATGAATAAGAGGTCTTTGTAGCTGAAAAACTTGACTCTTTAACCAACAGAAGTTAGTTCAGTAAAAAATATTACCTCACCCACTTTGTCCCTCTTATAAACAAATAAGAATTTACCCCTACCTGAAGAACTTGCTGAAGTATCTGTCCTGGAAGGCTCCACTGTACACAGAAAGGCAGAGTTCGTCCTCAGCTGCATAACTGGTGGCAAGCATTTCAGGGGGCACATTTTCCTTGGCCTCTGCATAAACTACTTATTTTCTGTCATTATAGACCTCAGAAGGGAACAAATGGGGTAGAGAGTGTTTCTGAAAAATAACTCACCTGGCTAATTTCACTTGGGACATATGTTGTTCTTATCTCTTTTAATCATGTTACTTTATTTTGAAAAGACAAGCTTTAACACAATGAAATGCTACTAAACTATTCATATCGTGTACTAAGCATGTGAATGAAATATGTGATCTTGAAAAAGGTACAAATTTAAGTTAAGGCAAAAAGGAATTTAATTAGATTACTAGAAAATTTCAGTGATGATTTTTTTTTTTTTTTTTTATAGCTTTGTGATAGCTGGTAATATGGAACTGCCCTGCTACTATTGCAGGCAGAGTTTTGTAGTTCACATAGCAATCAAAGCCTGTGAGCGAATCAATGACATTGGGTCTGCCTCTCAGCTTGTAAAGATAAGAACAGCCTACATTTAAATTGTGGCATACTACAAGTAGCAGAGAGTAATTATTTGTTAAGTGTAAAATTGTAAATTGTGGTGGCTGATTTGCAAACCATACAAAATGTGGCCCCTGATTTGCAAACTATATAAAAGTTGTTTAAAGACTGTCTAAATACTCCACTCAGTCTGTTTTATAAGACCCTTTATGTTAAATTTTACATTGATCTTTGTCAGTCTGAAAACATAAGAATGATCATACTGAATCAGGCGAATGGTACATCTAGCCTAGTATCCTGTCTTCTGACAGTGCCCAGTGCCAGGTGCTTCGTAGGTGTCATGGCTCCTTCCCCACTCTGGCACAATAAATGCAGAAGTAGGGGCCATCAAGAGTACCCCAAACTTTATCTACCAGGCTTTAGTATAAAACTCCCCTCCCCCCTCAAGTCTTAACAACCTAGATTTTGGGAATAAAATGCTGCTGCCACCACCCAAATATTAATAAAGCAACCAGGGAGAGACTACGGGGGAATCTTACCCCTAAAGTACAAACCAGGACACAAAAATTAACCAATACCAGGTTAATAAAAAGAAGAGAGAGAGAACTTTTATTATCACCACAATATTCCTGTTGCAAGTATAATGACTAGATGGAAGAGTAACAAAATAATGTACTCATGGAGGAGAAATTTACCATGGGTCAGGAACTTAGTTACAAAGGAGAGCAAAACCCATTTTAAATGCACAGACCAGATCCCATTTCCCAAACCATAAAACAATAAAACTTAACGGATTTATCTAAACTTTATCCTACTTACAGACTGTGAAAAGTATTTTCTTAGCCGGAGACACCCTGTCCCCTTCAATAGCTGGAGAGAAACTACGCAGGACAGAGGAAGGAAAAACCCCAAAATTCCTTTGTCCCAGTTTGAAATTCCTACCTACATTTCTATTGGCTGCCTGCCACCTGGTTTAGGCAAGGGACATATTTAACCTCTTAGTCGCCAGGATGCTGGCTAACCCTCATGATCATGACAGCAGGGAAAGAACAGAACAGGCAATCATGAAGTGATCCATCCCTTTTGTAAAAGTAAATGTAAAATGAGTTTGTCTGTTTTCTGCTGTTTGCGTTATATGATTACTAATACATTGAAAAGTAGATTGTGGAATTCATCAGCTATTAGTCTGGCATTTCCAATATTAATGAATGACTAGTTGGGTCAATTAGTTGCTTTTTATTTTTAGTTCCAGAAATGTTAGTTTATAGAATGTTTAAACTACATTTAGAGACAGTCAGACTGTAGCTACATTTAGGGATCATAAGAATCTTTGAGAATTCTCCTTATCTCCATCCCTCAACTCCAAACCTATCTGCAATATTTACTTTTATGTCTAATGGTAAGAATACTGTTAGTCTGCTAAAAAAAAACCAACTATTTTGGAGAAATATAGTGGACTTCTTTAATTTTTCTTTTCTCTGTACCTCCTGCTTTAAAGTTTGGTGTTTAAGTTTTGATTTGAGTTTAAGGTAGTATTGTATACTCATCCAAAATTCAGTTAGAACGGAATTGGACAGTCATGCTGTTTTGATGCTGTGTCTTCATAAATTACATCCAAAATATATCCTGTCAACAATTAATGTTTTTGAAATTTTACAGCAGTCATTATAAAAAAGGAGATATGTAAATGTTGAATATATCAGTATTGCTTTATACTGGATCTCAATGATTTATTAGAAGTATAAATCTAAATAAATGTTACAATTATTTTGTAGCAACTTTGTGTTTAGATTTAAGAAAAAATTACTGTCATAATGAAACTTTAAAGATTGAGAACGGAAGTCACAGTTATTTTGTGAGCGCTATCAGAAATTTTAGCAGATGGTAAGCTCTCGATGTGTGCATCAAAACCTATAGATGCAATTTTCTCCTAGTGTCATCTTTGGTCACTGACTAATTTATTTACTGCTCAGAGCTAAGAAATGTTTTCACAGCAACAGAAATGGACTTGTTAAATGGAGATAGTGCTGATTAAATTATGTAAGGATCTCATACCCCATATAAAAATGATTTTATATCTTTGCATGTAAAGCCCATATTGGTGTTGCAACCAGCCCTTCATTTCTCTTCACAGTGAGACATGCAGAATATTTCAGGTTGAATGACAAATTCTGTAGTTTAGACTGTCTGGAAGGATGAGCATGAAGCCTCGTCCTGCCTTGTCTGGTGATACAGTGGGGATTTGAAATGCATTGCATTGTGCCCTTTGCCACAAAGCTGGGACAGGATTCCTTGGGGAGGGCTGGGGCACAATATTTCACTTTGCTGGGATGATGACAATTATCTGTCAATTAGTGCTCATCCAAATGGGTAATATATATGTAATTAATTAATACATATATTACCATCACTAGCAATATATATATTAATTGGCTTAGGTGAATCAGATGATATTGGGTGGGATTTTCAAAACCAGAACTATTCAAAACTGCTCTTCTGAAGCTGGCAGTACTCATTGGGCATTATCTACAATCTACGTATATTCTAGTTGCCCTTTCACAGTTGGGTATAGTTATACTGAATAGCGGAGAGATTTGAGCCCCCCATCAGTATGATCAGAGGAAAGAGGTGAATTTGTACTTTAAGCGATCTATGATACATTATTTCAGCACTGAGTTTGGAAGTTGTTAGTAGCAGGATACAAGGGTCATCTGATCATGGAGATTGGCATTGGTGAGTTGGGATATTATAGTAAGTTGAGGATCCATAACATAAAATCAGCAGGCATGAATAAAGGCCTGTAACCTGAAATCTAGTGAGCAAAACTTTGGCTCAGAACTGCAATCAAGAAAGAGACTTGATTAAAAAGAAATAGTATAAGCCACATCAAGCATAAAGAACACCAAGAGGTACTGGGTACCCAGCATAGGCTGCAGGCACATTCCAGAGGGGTTGTAATAAAACACCTTGCTGAGAAACATCTTGGTACCAACTACCTCCACACTAATAAAGCACATAGTGATTTAGGTTCAGGACTGGGTTGAAATTGACAGCGTAATGGATAGTAAGTTAATAGTAAGATGAATTTAAGTAAACATCCCTTCTACGAGGTAAGGGGCAATAACCTGGTAACAGAGAGTGGCAACCTGATACGTCAGTGATGTGTGGCTTGTTTGTACCTGTATATAAAAGTGCCCCCCGAAGAGTGATCGCTGACTGACCATGGTGGGGGCACTGGAAATCCAGGGCACTTAATGGGTGTTAGTCCATTGTCCCGGCCTACCTAAGGTGTAGTGGCGCAACAGCGAGTCTGTTCTCTGACAACTGTTATTGTATGTCTTTGGCTTGGGTGATTTCCATCCGTCATCTGTTGTGGTATTTGTGGGGGGGGGGGGGGGAGGACTCTCTCAGGAGTCTGTCATTTTAACTAATTGCTCATGGTTAATGTGCTACACATGGGAGCAAACACATGCTCTCAGCCAAAAGTTTATTATCATTAATGGAGTAAAGGACCTGTCAGGAACTCATCGGGACGAACCCTGACTGATGACAGATATGAAAGCAGTCTGTGGTTTTAATGATGGGTAAGTGAAAGCATCAAGTTAGATGGAATCCAGTATTAATGACTGAAGTTGTAAAATGGGCATAAAGGGAGTTGTAAAATTAACACGTACACAGTTGTTTCTGGAGAGCTGGTTTATTGTTTGAGTGTAGAACAGTGCAGGTAGCTCTTAGTACAACTCACCTAAAAAGTTTTGGCTGAGAGAAAGTTTTAGACTTTGTACTGCAGTTTTTCACTTAAGGGAATGAGTTCTAACTCTTCCAATAGTACCACTGGGAAAGTTGTTAGAGAAAATAAAATAATATTCAATTACACTTTTCAGTAAAGGATTGGTATTTTCAAAATTTGAGAGCTTTTTCTTTTGCAAAACATATATATTAAAATACATGTTAAAGAATAATATGAATCAGACCTTGTATGGAATCCAAATTTGAAGGTGTTGGAGCAAGACCTGGCAAAAATAAACACTTGGTAACTCAGAACTAAACTAACCACAGGTCATTTTAAATCTTTCTTTAATAGCTTTTCTTCTAAAAGTAGTTAGAATTTTATCTTCCACAGCACATTGAAAATAGAATAAAGTTATAGAATCTAAGCAGCAAAACTATAATTGACTGGTTAGCTGGCACAATGGGTAATCTTAAAAGTTGGTGAACCCAAAGGGCTGTGGGGACACTACTACTAATTATTCAAACCGTTTCTTATAGACCTATATAAATGTAAGTTGCTATACTTTCAGTTGTCACTTACACCAAAACAAAATCTCATTATCTTCTTATAGATATTCCTGAAGTAGAGGATTTTTCTCCCTTTTATTTCCCCTTAATTAATATTCCTTCACCTAGAAATTTACATCCCAGTACTGTTATGTATTTAAATACACTGCTGCACGGTACAAATTTTGTAGCCACCCAGAATTATTCAGAGATTCTAGGAGTCTCTGGGGAAAACTTTCTCCCCATTCTTACTTTATAACACCAATTCCTTATTCACTTCCTAGTAGTACAATCTGGGGAGCAGATGGACAACAGATAGTTACCCCAACAAGCAACAAAACCTGCATCTGAGCTGTACGAGTCATGTAGCAGATATCTTTTGATATGCAATGTAACTATTAGATAAAGGGGAAAGAATCCTGGCTCCTTTGAAATTTTTTAATTTTCTTGATATCTAATTGACAACTAGTGGTTTGTAATTACTGTAGAGAAAGATAAATGTATTTTCTTTATAACAAGAAATTGTATATTATGGATTAGATATTTACTATAGCTTTGCCTGCTGTCCCTGTCTGTCTGTCTTGCATTCATGTTGATGTAAAGGAGACATAATTTTAATTTATGAATATACCTCCAATCCCATCCATATTTATATATTAATCGAGAAAAGGTCTAAGCTCACAGCATTTGAGACCACAAATACCTCAAACATACATGACATTAATAGGACATATTTTAATTAAAAAATAATGAAGCAGATATTTCTTGAAACTTTACACAGGTCTGTCAAATTTACTATGTTGTCTGTCTAGCCATCCTAGTAAAAATTATTTTACTGCCTTATTAAAATGCCTTAACACATGGCTTCATAACAAAGAGAGAGAAAGTCACTCTTAGTTTATCACTGATCTTTGAAGAGTAATATTAAATGTTGATGGTCAGTGACCTGAAGAGGGCAACGCAACATAAGTTTCAATGACTTACTGTGGAGGTGGACAAATTGCTGTTGTGTGGATCCATTGTGTAACTTTTGTCTTACAATGCAGTTTCAAAAAAGGACTTTTTAAATGTAAGGTAAACTTGGTCACTAAATATATTTATGCTTTTTCAAAAATATATTTCTGAAAAGTTAACATTTTGCTGTGACAGAAAAGTTGGTTAGTTCGTATAATGGAACTGAATGTTTACAGAAAGTCAACTAGGAAT